CAGGAGGGGAGGGGAAAAGTGGAGGGGGGGAGGGGAAGAAGGAGGAACCAATGGATCGCAATGATCAATGCATAACCCCCACCACCACCCCCAGTGGGTGAAGGGAAGCAGCTATCGATGTAAGATATGAAAATAACAATAATTAATCATTAGGGTGGGGTGAGTGCAAGGGAGGGAAAAAAGAGGAACTGATATCAAGGTCTCAAATAGAAAGTAACGGTTTAGAAAATGATAATGGTAATATATGTACAAATATGCTTGATACAATTGATGTATGGATTGTTATAAGAGCTGTAAGAGGCCCCAATTAAAATGATCTTTTTTTAAAACAAAAAGAAATTGCTCATTAGCACCATGAGCCTGTGCCATTCCTGGTGTACCTTAAATATGCCTTTGACCTCAAGTTAAAGAAAGCAAAATCCTCACAACTAGATTAATAAACAAGGTCGCATTAAAGGAAGAAAATACTGAAGTTGTCAAGGATTATATTTTACGTGTATCCACAATCAACATTTGTTGGAGACCAGGAGGCCTTGAAACAACCCAGGTGCAGGATGCGAGCTGGCCAGACTTTGGGGGCCTGTTCCAGGAACTGGCTGATTGCTTTGTCCTTGGTGCGTATCAGAAAACGGCTTTCCCCTGCCCTTGTACCAGGTGGCCTAATCACAAACTGTCTTTACGAGCCTGAGAAACATCCCCTCCTTGCATTCACTTCTTCACTCCCCTACCCCCTCGCTTATCACTTCTTCATTCCCCTACCCCCTCGCCTAGCTTAAAAAGCAAGCCTTGTAACAATAAACTCAGACCTTGACACGAATTTGCTTGGTCTCGCTCTTCTTTTCCGCCCGTTTCTCTTTCAGGCTGGGTCCTCCTCGCCCCCACGAATAACTGAGTCCCGCGGGTCGGGGCAAACACTCATGGAAGCGTTGGGCAAATCAGCCTCAAAAGACTTCTTTAATGTGTTGAAGAGCAATAATGTCACTTCAGGATGCAGGTGCACCTAACCCAAACCACAGTTGTTGTTGTTGTTGTTGTTTCAACAGTTTCATTGACATACAGTTCCCATACCTTACAATTCAATGGTATGTGTGTGTGTATATGAATTGCACCATCATCACAACAATCAATTTTAGAACATTTTCTTTGTTCTTTTATCCATTATTATTAGCTCCCTGTTACCAGTCTCTTCTTCCATAACCCAAAGGAATTAGTAATCTAGTTACTGTCTCTCTAGATTTGCCTACCCTGGGTTTCATAAGAAAATTATACAAAAATGCCAAGAGCAACAACAAAGTAAAACACGGATAAACCTCAATCCAAATGAAAGCAGACAATAATAGAAACTAGAACAGATTAAAAATGGGTCAAAACAAATGACAATACATTTCAAACAAATTAAAAGACAATATGTTTACAATTAAATTTTAATCTAACTGTATCTGTAGTTATCCACTTTCCAATGCTCTCTGTCTGAGGGCAAGATTCACCTCCATGGTCAATGGTTCAAGGGAATTCAATGGAGGCTTCATCTGTGTTCGGACTCTACAAATGGATGTGGGGCATCCATATCTTTCCACAAACTGGGTGCTCAGAACTTAAGTTCCAATACAATGCCTTCCTCTGATCTGAATTTTAGAATTTACTATCCTTGGAATAAATACATGGGCTGGTGGGTTCCTTTCATGTGGACTTAGTTGACACCTCACTTAGATGGCTACTTATTTCAAGACAAGCCTTTAAGACCACAGACACTATTTCTTTCTGATAGCCAAGCACCAGGTGATTTTTTTCACCACTCTTTGCTCTAGTACCTATAGCTTCATCAGGGCAAATATTGATCAGGGTCTCATTGTAAGAATTCATTGTTCTTAGATTTAGGTTTAAGATTTCGATTACGTGGGAGTTCAAAATCCATTCCTGTATCGAAAGTTTATACATGTCCCTGGTCCACTTAAAGTCAGCATGATCCGGTTGTTGAGAAGTAATTTTGTAAGGAAAATCCTAATAGGGAATTTTACACTTTGGAAAAGAAGCCCAAGGCACTGCCTCACCCCATGTACTTCCTCATTCCCAGAATGCACCCAACCCCCCATGAACTCCCTTCCTCCTTTACTGAGGACCCTGTCTGCACTGGAAATCCCTGCCTCATCTGCTTCTGTGACCTTACTCTGCAGAGAAAGTGTAAAAGCTATGTCCACCTGACATTCAGGACTCGGATCTTCCAGACCACTAGTTCCTCTGGGCTGCTGGCTAATCAATTTATCCTCTTTCACGGTCTCCAAGAGTGTCACCTGATATGTTCTTCAGTCCCATTCATGTCGAGATACTTTGTCCTTTCGTCATTTTATTTAATGATGTGTAGTGTTCCCTTGTGTGTATTTGCCAGAGTTTTTTAAGCCATTCTTCTACCATGTTTTGGAACTGTTTCTAACTTCGCACTACTGTGAACATTTCTACCATGCTCAAGAGATGTAACAGGAACAGACAAATGAGGGGGAACACCCCCCCCCCCAGAAAATGGAAAAAGGTTTACTGGGTGGAGCTTTCATAGTATGCATTTTTCACTCTAGGAGAGCATGGAGCAACTCGATCTGAGATTAGTGCACCCAGAGGCATGGCCTGGAAAGGTTCTCTCTGGTCACAGTGAATTTTTTTCCGCAAATGCAGTTTCATTTGAACCTCATTTTTTGTGATGGCTGATTTAAGAGAACAGCATGGGGCTGGGAAATTTTGTTTACTGCTCAGGAAAAATGTCACAGAAATTGTTGTGATGTTGAACACAGCTTACAAGGACAGTGCTATGTGAAAGCCTCAAGTGTACGAGTGGTTTTCTCATTTCAAAACAGGTGAAATATCAATTACAAACCTTGTTCTGAACATCCATCAACTTCCTGAATAGAGGAAAATGTGGACTTGTAGCGCATTTAGAGTTCACTCTACCAGGTCAGACTGTTAATCAAGCTTCCTATTTAGATGTTCTGAAAAGATTGCTTAACAGTGGGCAACAAAAAAGGCCTGATTTGTGGCATACGAGGGGACTGGCTTTGCCACCACGACAATGCATCTGCTCAGGCAGCCAGTTTTCAGCAAAAAGCAACATGCCTAGATCCGGCCCGCCTTAGCCAGAAACTCACACCCGGAAGATGGCGGCAGCCACGGAGTTGACGCTGCTTGAGAAGTCCCTAGGGCTGAATAAAAGGAACAAATGCATGCCCCGGTGAGCGCCAGATTCCAGTTCTTCAAGCAAACAATGGTCTGAGTTTAACAGGATTAGCCACAATAGCAGCTCATCTAGTTAGGCAAGCCAAAAAAGAATCTTTGCTGGGGAGCCCTACAGAAGAAGCAGCCATTGTGCAGCAGTGGCTGGCACACAGGGTCACTCAAGGAGATGGACACTCCACTAAGACGACATGCGCATTCTGCTGAAGGATCTGAATTCTTATCTGGAAGACAAAGTCTACCTTATGGGCTAGAACTTTACCTTAGCCGATATTCTGTTATACTACGGACTTCACCACTTTGTAGTTAGCCTGACATGACAGTTCAAGAAAAGGAGACATATCTTCACGTGTCTCGCTGGTTTGGCCACATTCAGCATTACCCAGGTAGCAAGCAACATCTGACTAGTGTTGTCTTCATCAAGAACAGACTGTATACCAATTCCCATTAGAAGTTTCCCAGGCCATACAGAAGAGTTATTAAAACGTTTCACGTGAAAAATACATTCTGGACCGCAGGACTAACATAAATTGATAGTCATTACTTGTTGACAGGAGCAAATTTTAAAGTGTACACTTATGTTAGAATGTTTTTTTGTTGTTGTTCTTTGGTTGAAATTTTGCAATTTTTATGTAAAAACTGTTGTCAAAATCAAGTCATAAATTACCTTGTCTTATCGGTGAAATTTTAATAAAAGTTGCAAATCAGTGGCTTAACCCATAAGGAAAAATAGTGTTTTTCAGGGGTGACATACTTGGCTATTTGTTGACCTCTGTTTTGTATTTTAAAATTAATTTTCCCCCAATGGACATTTAGCTAGTTTATTATCGGCTATAATAAATTATGCCAAGGAAAGGGAAGAAAGATGGACTTGTTTTAAAATATTTATGTGAGCTAGTAAATGTGATTAAAAAGAAAAAATAAAACCATTCCTGTCTTGTCTTGCCCCACGCACCCTACTCACCTGACCTTGCTGTGTGTGACTTTTTGTTTCCATGAATGAAGAGCGACATGAAAGGACAGCAATTTGATGACATAGAAGAGGAAAAGAAAAAAAAAAACAAGGGAGGTGCTGTCAGCCATCCGAAGAGATGAGTTTGAAAAATGTTTGTAAGAATGGAATCGCAGATATGACAAATGTATTAAGTGCAATGGAAAGTACTTTAAAGGTGATAGACTTGTTTTGTTATAAAAAAAATTTTAATGCACAGCTTTGAAAAAAAACCCAGGGTTTTTTTTGATACCCACTCATACATATGGTCTTTCTCCTGTTCCGTTGTTAATGGGAGAGAGATGGGGCTTTGGACTCCTGTAAAGACTTAGAAACCCGCGGGGCAGATCTACCCTGCGCTAGGGTCGCTGTGTTCTAGGAATCAACTAGGTGGCACTGAACTTGGGTTTGGAGCGTTGTTGCTAAGTCTGTCCGACCGATTCTGGCTTGATGGCACCTAAAATCAACGTAGGTTGTGAGAGCGATTCAAGATCTTAAAAAGGATGAGAACGTAGGCAAACATCGACGAGCGCTTAGGGGAGAAGTTCTTCGGCGGAGCGCATTCGGGAGGGGGCTTCTGGCCGCCCCTCCGCCCTGCAGCCGAGCGCAGGCGCCGCGCGCAGGCCCCCGCCGGGGCCGTGGGTGGGGCTGGCCGGCCGCCGGGGGACGCTCGTTGGCCGACCGCCCAGGGGGCTGTCCCGCTGCCCTCCGCCGGCCCGCCTGCGTAGCGCCGCCCCCCAGAGTGTCGCGCCTACCTTCCCTGTCACCCCTAGCAGCCAGCGCCAAAGCCATGGCCGTGCGCCTGCTCCGCGGGTCCCTGCGCCTTTGGGGCGGCCGCGGTGCGCTGTGCCCGCCCCGGGCCGCGAGGTGAGTGCGGGGCGCGGGGCGCGGGGCGCGGGGCGGAGGAGAGGCCTGGGCTCCCGGAACCGGCCCCCAGCTGGGAGAAAGCAGGAAGAGACTTTTCGCCCAAAGTTCACTGGGGCCCCGGGCCCTGCAGTGGAAGGTTTCCCACGCCCGGGGGAGGCGGCCCGTTGAGCCGGGGTCGGGCTGTGCCCTTCAGCCTACTTCCAGGAGCGTCTGCCCCCTGGTCAATGGTGCCTGCTGATTAGGCCCTGGGGAGCCAGAGCCTAGCCGCAGGGCAGATCTGGACCATGGCACCGGAGAAGGGAAACACATGATGGACACGTTTCTGAATAGGAAACTAAGTGGCTGTGTAAACGTTCGCTTAAAACACGGTACGATGTTTAAAAGAAGTGTGCAAGATAAATAACTGGCATCAGAAATCTCCCGGTGTTGGCACTGCCGTCCAATTAATGAAATGCAGAAGGTGTTAGCGGAAGGAAGTTTAGAGGTTCAGTGCCGATTCAGATGAGCTCAAGTGGTTAAGTGGTTTATCCGTCTTGTCACCCTCAGTAGATAGCTGGAAAACTAGCTAGTCTCAACATTGTGGTGAATTAAGCTGTTATGTGACCAGACAAACAAAAGGCCTTCTCTTTTCCTGGGGAGGCTTGGGAGGGCTTCGTGGAAGAGGTGGCTTTCCTTCTGGACACGCAGAACTTTCTAGGATCTTCCTGAGGCTTCAGAAGACTGTAGTTCTCAAAATCTTTGGGTGTCAGCACCCCTGTTCACTCTTAAAATGCCAACAAAAACAGAACAAGAAACGCATACACACAAAATATAATCCATTGTATGTTCTTAGCCACCTGTGTTGGAGTAAAACTGTTCTCAGAATTTTCCAGGGCTGATGTTTTTAGAAGTAATTGCCTGGCTTTTCTTCTGGGTGATTTCAAACCGCCAACCTTTCATTCAGTTGCTGAGCGTTTGCCCATGTGTACAGAAGAGGGACATCCTTAAAACTAGAGGACTCCAAAGATCCTTCATTTATATGGGCCCTACGTATGATTAAAACAAAACAAAAACCTCACCCAGTTGGTGCTGACTTACAGTGGCCTCGAGTGTTAAAGCGCACAACTGCCCCACAGGGTATTTTTCCTTTTTCTTGTTCTGGGAAGAAGCCCTGGCTCCATTTTGAACCACGTTTCAACACAAGGAGCCTACCCAGCAGCTCCTGGGCAGAAAGGAATCGTCACCTGCTCCCATCCTGATTGCAGCCTAGAAAGCCCCCTGAGGCAGTGCCAGTGGGGCCGTTCCAGTTGTCCAGCAGGGTCACCGTGAGTCAACATCAACTCCATGGCACACCGCCACTGTCGTTAAGGAGGGAGCTAGTTGGGTGGGCAAACATTTGAGCTTCCCTACTCGCAGAAAGCTTAGTGATTCCAACCCACCTTGAGGTGCCTTGAAAGATTGCCTGGCAGTCTGCTTCTGACAGGTTGGTCTGGAATAGCCAAGGAAGCAGCTCTACTCTGCCACCTGTGGGAGCACCGGAGAAGAGCCCAGCCTGTTCCATCACCAGTCGGCCAAGCCAGTCAGCTCAGACTGCTGGCAACTCCCTGTGTCCGAGGAGGTCTGTGTTCCCTAGGCTTTTTTTTTTAATAATCATTTTATTAGGGCTCATACAACTCTTCACAATCCGTACATACATATTTGTGTCCAGCACATTAGTACATATGTTGCCATCATCATTCTCACAAGACCTGCTTTCTACTTGAGCCCTTGGTGTCAGCTCCTCATTTTCCCCTCCCTCCCTGCTCCCCCTCCCCCTGAGCCCTTGATAGTTTATAAATTATTATTGTTTTATCATATCTTACACCATCCGACGTTTCCCTCATCCACTTCTCCACTGTCCGTCCCCCAGGGAGGAGGCCACATGTAGACCTTGTCATCTGTTCCCCCTTTCTCCCTCACCTTCCCTCCACCCTCCCGATATCGCCACTCCCTCCACTGGTCCTGAGGGGTTCATCTGTCCTGGATTCTGATCGATCCTTTCAGATATAGATATCCAGGCCTGTCTTGGCAGGCGCTCAGAACTCCCACCTTTTCCACTAACAGGGGAGTGTGTATATCTCCCTCCGCTAAAGCCTCTGCACTTAATTAATCCCAGGATTTGTTAATAAAGCTAAAGTTAATTCCTTTGTGTGGCTTGGGGATTTCTGATCTGGGGTATTTATCTTAGACAGTGTTTTCTTCTCCTTTTGAAACACTTTCCAAAAGTCACTGTCATTGAGTTGATTCCAACTCAAAGTGACACTGTTTCAAGTGAAAGTTCACATCGCAAATGGGTTCAGTCAGCAGGACAGTTTGTTGGAACTGTCAGGGAGAAATGGAAGCTTAAAAAAAGAAAAAAAGACGCCCAAGTATTTTGGTTTTCTTTCCTCGCTGCGTTCTCTCTCCAATCCCTTTAACTGACCTGAAAGTTTATTCTGCCTGGCACTTCTTTGGTTTTCTGTGCCTTTGGTGTATTTTAGTACTAAATATCCCAATCATTTCCTATTCATAATATGGGTCATAAAATTTTAAAATGCAAGCAAACTTGCATGTAAACTGGCTATATCGTTTACTGATTATGACATGTGACTGCACTCCACATCTTAGAGCCTCAGTATTCTAGTGTCTACACATTGAAGAGACCGAAGAAAAATTCAAAATTTGAAAAACTCTGTAGACAGATATGTGCACTATAGCTTTATTTGTACTACTAATAAATTAGAATCAATCATTTGAATATAGAGGGATACATTGAATTTTAGTCTATATGATGCAACAATACAAAGCCCCTGCATGTTCTGACCCCTTGTTCCTCTGACTTCCTCTATCTGCTCACTCCATCTTCTCCCTCAATCTGTTTCAGCCACACTTGGTCTCTTTACTATTTCTAGAACATACCAGGCACCTCCTGCCTTACCGTTTTTTGATCTAGTTATTCTCTTATCTTTTACTCCAGAGACTGCTTGCGAGAATCTGCTGGCTTTCTCTGTTGCTTTCAAGCATTTGCTCAAATCGCTTCTTTCTGTGTAGCCTACCTAATTCAACCTACCTCCGCTAATTCACTATTTCATACTGCAGCCTCTCGCCATGTCAGACACTTACACCTGATCCCGACTCTAGTCTTCTTTCTCCACAGTATTTATCAAATTTTAACAGACACCATTTGCTTGTTTACTGTTGTTGTATGATTCAAATTCAATTTATCCCTATATATTCAAATGATTGATTCTAATTTATTAGTAGTACAAATAAAGCTATAGTGCACATATCTGTCTACAGAGTTTTTCAAATTTTGAATGATGTTGAATGTTGTATGTAAGCATAATGCCAGGGATATATATTTTGCTCACTAATGTATCCCAAGTTACTAGAACACTGCCAGACACATAGTAGGCACTCAGAAAATATTTGTTGACTAAATGAATGAATAATCCATTAAAAATTTAATTTAGATGACAAGGTGGTAACCATAAAAATATTTATGAAGACAAAAAGCAGACCAAGTATAAAAATTATGTTAAATATTCACAGCTAAATTTTTTTAAAATAATTTTATTAGGGGCTCATACAACTCTTATCACAATCCATGCATACATCAATTGTGTAAAGCACATTTGTACATTGATTGCCCTCATCATTCTCAAAACATTTGCTCTCCACTTAAGCCCCTGGCATCAGCTCCTCATTTTTCCCCTTCCTCCCCGCTACCCCCTTCCTCATGAACCCTTGATAATTTATAAATTATTATTTTGTCTTATCTTACACTGTCCGACATCTCCCTTTATCCACTTTTCTCTTGTCCTTCACCCAGAGAGGAGGTTATATGTAGATCCTTGTAATCAGTTCCCCCTTTCCAACCCACCCACCTTCCCCACTCCCGGTATCTCCACTGGCACCACTGGTCCCTGAAGGGATCATCTGTCCTGAATTCCCTGTGTTTCCAGTTCCTATTTGTACCAGTGTACATCCTCTGATCTAGCCAGATTTGTAAGGTAGAATGAGGATCATGATGGGGAGCGGGGGGAGTAGGAAGCATTTAAGAACTAGAGGAAAGTTGTATGTTTCATCATTGCTACACTGCACCCTGACGGGCTCGTCTCCTCCCCGTGACCCTTCCGTAAGGGGATGTCCAATTGCCTACAGATGGGCTTTGGGTCTCTGCTCTGCACTACCCCTTATTCACAATGATATGATTTTGTTGTTCTGATGATGCCTGATACTTGATCCCTTTGACACTTTGTGATCACACAGGCTGGTGTGCTTCCTCCATGTGGGCTTTGTTGATTCTGAGCTAGATGGCCACTTGTTTATCTTCAAGTCTATAAGATCCCAGATGCTATATCTTTTGAAAGCCGAGCACCATCAACTTTCTTCACACATTTGCTTATGCACCCG